ATTCGTGAAACAGTGAACAAGACACTCAGCGGATCTCCTTAAATGAGAAACATTATAAATAGCGTGAATACGTTAGACGGAGCATGTCTCCACATGTTTAAATAATGCACTTATTCTGTTAGACATTTTGATAATTACAATTTTTAAGCGTTAAAATCACTTGCACCTAAATTTTGTTACCCCTTTCCATGCTGTCTTTTATTTAAAGTAGGCAGCCATCCGTTGTTATTATTTTCACAAATTCTGCGTCAGCTGTGGGAGTTAGTGGCCCATGTTTCTTTCACTGAATTCAAATGTAAAATCAATACAGACCTTAAGGCCAATACTTCTGGGTTAGATATATCGAGTGTAGCATGGAAAGGGTTATTTTTAAATGTTTGTGTTTGTCTGTATTAAAATATCAGCAGACGTCTTAATTCCAAACACCCAACTTTTTAAGTATGTTAGGCGTCCCACGACATCGTTTCAGTTTTTCTGGTGAACCTGATTTCTATTTTCATTTAACGTTTTAAGAAACTTAATAAAGATATATGCCAATTTTATCCAGGCTGTTGGTTTAGTTCTTATGAACTACAAAAAAAAATACTATGAAATTGTTAATCACTTTTGAAAGAGACTGTAAATGTTAATATTTCCTTAAATGTAATATACCGTACTTCAGAACAATTTTCAGCTATATTTTGTAAAGACGTAGATAAATCTTCGGGTCACATAATGCAAGTCTTAATAAGCTGAATACCACAATAAGAATAGCGTAAATAATACAGAGAATCGATTTATTCGACGTTGGCACTTTTTACATTCAGTTTATCGTCTATCAAATGGATATTGGCACTGTAAGAGATAAGACGACTTTGTCTTCCTGTAATATCTTTCTGTGACACTGAACGAATTCCTTTAAAAACAATTAATTATTTCCGGATTCCGTAGTTCTTTATGGTGTCCATTTCACTGCGTTGCATCGTAAAAGTCGACTGGTTCAGAAACACTCAGTTTCATTTGGAAATAAGGACGATTTTTTTTATACATATGTCAAAGGGGCTTAACACAGAATAATAGTGATCTTAATTAAAATGAAAATATCGTAATTTACAATCTTTACTTCTCTGTTGATCAGCCATGTCAATACGGAATAAACATGGACTGATGTGAAGAATTATGCTAATTCACGTGTGTATGTTATGTAGCCTATCGTAGGCATAACGGAGCTCACACCAGTCCCTGAGCAATGTTATTTAGACTGGATACACTTTGAGTGACGTCAGGCTCTTGCAGCTGAAGTGGATCGGCGTTGCTTAACCTCGGTGTGACCACAAGTGACTCGAAGTTTTGGAGTTGATGTAGCTCGGTGTTGTTGAAAGTTGATGAGCCAGGACTTCGAGCGCTTCTGAATTATTTCAGCACGTTTGAAACGTAATTTTAATTTGCATTATACCACCCACTGATTGCCACGGTGGTCTAGCGGTTAGAACGCTGGCCTTGAAATCCTGGGGGTCTCGGGTTCGATTCCCGGCGGTGCCCGAATTTATAACTTGTGTTGGGCAAGGCCGTGGTCTATGCAACACGGAGGTTTCCTCCGGGGGCTTCTCCGGTTTCTCCGTGGCATCCCAACAATTACTCCATTCACACACAGAAGTAGGCAATGGCAAACCACTTCTGGATCATCTGCCAAGAACGTATATGAACAGGTCCCAGTCCGAGAAAAGGATGGAAGGATCCTGTTCATATGGACCTGTCGTCAGACAGAACACTAATAATAATAATAATACCACCCACTGATGATGGATCCAGAGAAGGTCTTCGAAACGTAGGTTTATTCCGTATTGATTCTGCTGAGAAGATTTCATATCGTTATGTTAATAGGAGTCCTGCTTTCAAACAGGGGGCATTTTATTAAGCATTATACAGCACAATGAAAAATGTAGCCCCTGTCTCCTACACCAGACTAGATAATGGCGCTCTGGTCGCCACTGGACTAGCGGGTAAAGTATGTGCTGCAGCAACAGAGTGATGATGATAGTACAGCGGGGGTGGGTATGACGTAGTTGTGGCCGAAGACGTCGCAACGCCCGCGCCGCTTCCGTCCAGATGATGGTGGTGGTGCAGTGGGACTCCGTG